TTGTGTTCTCGTTCATTCACCCATTGAAAGTTGAACTTTATTCATCTTTATAGATAGGTACACGGCGAAAGTTAGATCGCTTTCCCCCAGGCCGATCGAACGCGTGACGCGTTCGCCGCGGCCGTTTCGCCCGGAGTAGGCGGGCACACGGGACGTGCACTAACACCGTTTAGAAGATGATAAATGACGAAATGCTCAGGAGGTTCGCGAGCAAGCGCTGTCCCGGCCGCTCGACATGTCGGCCCTGGAGGCGAGCCTGCGCCGCGCGCTGGAGGCGGCGGCGGCGCGCGCGGCCGCGGCGCGCGAGCGCATCGACAGCGTCGCCGCCAGCGAGGCCGCGCTCGACGCCAAGCTCGAGCGCCGCCGGGCGGAGCTGCAGCGCGCGGAGAAGCGCCTGCACACCGTGCAGAAGATCAAGTAAGGCCATGGAGGAACTCGTCTCCGGGCTACAGGGCCCGGTTCACGAGGGCACGGAGTAATATTATAATCTATTTGCTCGCATCAGAACGTGTGATATTACAATCTGTTCCAAGGCCGGCCTACCAAGGAGAGCTGACGGGGTTGGAAAGTGAGATAGAGCAACTGTGGGACCAGTACGTGCTGCGATACCGGTGCGTCGAAGCCCTGAAGCATCAGCTTAGCGTGCTCGAGAGCGCGCAGGCCGAGGTAAATATTCGTTACAGCTCTCCGGGACGCTTTACAGTAAGGAAAATTGATAAAGAATTTTATGACAGGCAGCTGAAGAGCAGCAGGCTGCCATCATGCAACTTATACATAAATATGAAGCAGAAGATGTCCTGGGCAAGCTGAGCGAGTCGGGTACCGGTAACTGACTAATTACATCCCGCCAGACCGACTCATTTTTGGATAGTCGGGATTTCGTTGATGTTGGTTTCATTTTTAGATGAAATGGACTCCAGCGATGATGGAAAGGATTTGAGCGAAGTTAGGCAGCCGCGGCCAGCGACTAGACCCAAGACAAGGCTACGAATTAAGACAGCAGGTGCGTCGTGTAATTTGCTCTTCCTGTGCGATGTTATGATTAGATATAAGTATATTCATATACTAAATAAAACTGCCTCCATGGCCGAACTGTTACCGTACCGGACAGCCACGCAGAGGATCATGCCTGGAAAGTTTCGATTCCCGGGCGGGGAGAAATATTTAATAATTATATAATATTATATAACTTAATAATTGTAATTTAATATATCTCGTGAGTTTGGGTGTAATTTGTGGGTGTTTATGTGCGTGTCCATGGCACCAGCGATACAGGGTTTCCTTAGTGCGGGACTATGTTGTGTGTGTGCGTTATTACATGCAGTATCAAATTGTTTATTAATCCAATGTGACAAATAATTTATGAATGTTGTGTACTCCGTAATGGGATATGTATTAGAAATTTAAATAATTATTTAAGTTTCAGCAATACGGACATACAAAAAACTATTGTATGCGGCCCTATAAATGTGTCACGTGTGCAGAACCGCACATAACATCTGAATGCACCAAACCCTACCGCAGTACTCCGCACTATGTCAACGACCACATCCAGCCAACTGTAAAGGCTACCAAATATATAGAGAAATACTTAAAAGAAAAACTCAAAACAAACCCATTTTAGATCGCTTTAAATCTAATAACACGCCCCTACCTGATACAGGCATTAATAACTCGAAATTACCTGCAAGAAACCAGTACAAGGACTCAGCAACCTGGCAACAAAAGCTACGCTGAGACTGTGAAGACTAACAACGAGACTAATACAGATAAGGAAATACCCTCATTTACAACAAAATGGTCATTGGAATAAATACTTATAAAACAGTCAGAAAAGTTAGACCTTATCCTTCAACAAATGAGTTCCTTGACGCAACTCATGGTAAAACTAATTAACAAACATGTTTAATGGCTTCATTGAGAGTAGCCACCTGGAACTTCAATGGTCTGCCTCCAAATAAAGACGAAATTGAACAGTTAATTAGAGAGCACCGACCGGATGTAGTCTTGGTTTCAGAAACGCATTGTAGAAGTTCATCAAATATCAAAATACGAGAGCACCATACATATTTGACAAACCATTCTGATGGAACTGCCCATGCTGGGACAGCAGTGATAATTAAAAATACAATCAAACACCATTTGCTACAAGTATATAAAACGGACCATATACAAGCCACTACAGTGGCATTTGAAGCTAGGTGCGGACTCTTGAATCTCTCCGCCGCCTATTGCTCACCTAGACACATCATAACAAAGCCTATGTTTACCTATCTGTTCAAGCATCTGGGAAACCGATTCGTGCCTGGAGGAGATTGGAACTCCAAACATACTATCTAGGGTTCACGTTTTATAACAACGCGAGGTAGTGTTAAAGATGAGTATGACAAAAAAACACCTTAATTTCTCTCTCAGCATCGGAACTCACATATTGGCCAACACATCCTAAAAAAATCCAGATTTGTTGGATTTTTCATTGCAGAAGGGATTTCAAAGCTTTATTTTAAACTGGAATTGTGCTCAGATAGTTCTTCTGACCACACGCTGGTACTTTTAACGATAAGTATTAATTGCGGAACACCAGATATACTTTATAATAAGTTCACTGATTGGGAATCCTTTCGGGAATATATAGAAAGTAACATTGAACTTAAGAAATCACTTAAAACCTCAGAAGACACTGACAACGCTACGAAATATATCACGGTGCTTATACAAGGATGTTGGAAAACCACACCCGTTATTGACAACGTCATTAAATCTGAAATCCAACTGCTAATTATAAAACAAAAACTAACTTCTCTAGAAATTTAGACTTCATCCTTTATGGCACCAGAGTAGACTCAATGAGGACAAAATTCGGTTTGATAAAGCTGCCTCGGAACTTAGAGACTACTTACTCCAGTGGGGTGATAGAACTTCGAAACAAAATTGGAGTCTCTAACCGTAACTGCAGCTACAGGGTACTCTCTGTGGAAATTTACAAAAGCATACAATAGACCACAAAAAGCTAAATCCCCTATAAGGAAAAATAACAACAGTTGGGCTAAAACATCACAAGAAAAAGCTGACAAATTTGCTCAGCATTCAGCGGAAGTCTTTACCCCAAACAAATCTCATACCCAATAGTGTGAAAATATAATCGAATCGACGCTAGATCAAGTGCACCAGTTATCACCACCACCACGGCCTGCAACGCTACGAGAAATTTGGAGACTTATTAAAGACTTGAAACAAAATGCACCAGACTTCGATCTAATTACAAGGAAATTCTAAAGGAGTTCTCTAAGAACGCGGTTGTATTCATTACTACCTTATTTAATGGAATACTGAGGACTGTTCATTATCCAGATTTATGGATGATCTCCCAAATTGTCAAATGAAGTAACCTCCTATAGACCAATTAGCCTACTACCGACGTTATCAAAGCTGTTAGAAAAGGCCCTGCTGAGAAGAATATTGCCAATACTTACGGTAAACATCGTCATACCACACCATCAGCTCGGATTCAGATTACAGCATTCAACTGTGGAACAGGTACATAGAGTATGTGACAAGATCCGGTGTGCGCTTGAAAACAAAGAATATTGCTCTACTGCATTCCTGGACGTAAACATGCATTCGACCGTGTTTGGCATGAGGGACTTTTATATAAGATCAAGACAATTCTTCCCATAGCTATTTCCCATTGTTGAAGTCTTATCTAACAACAAGATTATTCCAAGTAAACAACAAACTTGCACGACACAACATCAAACTTGTACGATATAAGGGCAGACGTGCCGCAGGGATCTGTTTTAGGCCCAGTACTATACAAACTATACACTGCAGATCTGCCTATAGTACCAAGGATACTATAACTACTATATACTATAACTACTGCTACTCACGCTATCGATACAGCGATTCTGGCCAGTGATAAAGATCCCACTAAAGCGTCACTAGTCTTACTACATGGACTCAATGAAATAATAAAATGGCTTCAAACGAGGCGAATCAAAGCTAGTACCACAAAATCAGTTCAACTTGAGAATGCAGAATTCCCACAAAGTGACTGTGTGAAATATTTGGGCTTACATCTGATCGGCGACTAACATGGAAATAGAACATAAAGGCAAAACGAGAGGAACTCAACCTGCGATACAAAAATTTATGCTGGCCGGTCGGACGAAACAGTAAGCTGTCAATAGACAATAAACTACTCATCTTCAAAACAACTCTGAAGCCAGTATGGAGCTATGGAATCCAACTATGGGGGAGCGCCTGCTACTCCAATATATCCATGTGACAAAGAATGTAAAACATTATCTTGCGTAGTTTGGTTATTGTGCCCTGATATGTCCCAAACTCTGAGATCCACACACGTCTGGAAATGAACACAGTAAAGTAGGCAATTTATTTATTTAACTTCGGCAATCTTAGGCAATCAAAATTACCATCTTAAGATACCGTAATAGACTTGAAAACCACCCGAATGAATTAGCAAAATAGCTGACAACTGACTGATTGCAAATGATAAACAAAAAAAAAACAGTTTTTAGGAAAATGTTATACGTATTCTGTGGATATACTTACTTACATTATTAAATAAAAAAGAGACGGAGGTCAGTCACAGGAGCACGAAATGCGCAGTATACTGAAGTACATGATCATCATCATCAATCGCAGTCCAAAGCTGGACTCAGACCTTTTCCAATGAGCGCCATTTCGAGCGGTCCTTAGCTTGTGGCATCCACCCGCTGCCGACAGCCCTTCGTGGATCATGACTCCACTTGACCAGAGAGCATTCTGCACTACGTTTCAGGAGCTGTGGTTTTCACTCCAAAATACGTTTCCCCATCGGTTCCCCGTCGGTCCTTCGTCAGATAAGGCCGGCCCACTGCCATTTCAGCTTGCTTATTCTACCAGTAACATCGACGCCCTTGTTTCTCTATTGAATAACCTCATTTCGAATGTTATCCTTCAGAGAAGCTCCGAGCACAGCAGCGAAGTATTGTCACCCAATATCTATTTCTTGGCTATACTCAATTGTTAATAAGCTTGATGTCTAAGGCGGCGCGGCGGCGGAGGCCCGTCGGGCGTTCGGCAGCATGGCGGCGGCGGCGCGGGACTCGGTCGACGACATCCGCGACGAGGACGACTCGCGATCCGACTCCGACTTCTCTGACCAGCAGCTTTACGGTCAGCGCTCATCATGTTTTTGTTTTTGGTTTCACGGCAAAGTTCATTTTTAGGGTGGATTTATATTGGCCGGTATTGCGAGCGCAGGTGGCGCCGGCGGCGACGCAGCGTCTTCGCGCTGGTCGCGCCCGCGCCCGCGCCCCGCCACGCGCACGCTCGCCGCGGCGGACGACGACGACGACTTCGCTGATCTCATCGAAGGTTCGTGCGAAAGGTTCTAAGGATTTGCAACAGATGGAAAGATGTTGTTCTTAACTTAAAAAAAGGACCCTCAAACTTTGTCATTTGCGAGCGTGCAATTCTTTGTCGGCTTAGGTGAGATCGAGGTCAAAATAAATGACTAAAGAAAAACTGTCGTATAATCAAGCAACCGCTAGTGTGAGAGTCCATAGTTGCGAGAATTAAAAAAAATATTGTTAATATTATTATGATAACCTGTGGTCAGAATGCGGTGTTCCAAGTGAGTATGTAACTTTTTCAAATTCTGGATTTCCAGACAACATTTTTTATGAATTACAACCTTGTTTTAACTAATGCAGATATTGATGTTTACTTTGATGAAAAGTTAATTGTTTAATGCATTTTTTACATGGCGCCACTAGAATTACCTACTTTAAAATCCAACTTCAGCTTCCTGAGTAAGTAGTTTTATCTTACGATGCAGTAAAATTATTCCGGAAATGTGGAATTCGAAAAAGTAATTAATTAATATTTGGTGGACGTAACCACTCTATGTAGAAGCAGCAGAGCTCCTTGTGAAAGAGTTCGTCAAGACAAGTATTGCCACTTTACCTACTTCTGCCGCCAAGCAGCAATGTGAACAGTACTACGTTCCGGTCTCGAAGGGTAAGGGTGCTATGACTGGCACATGAGACTTTTCAACTTGTGTCTCAGGGCGACTGGCGCAGTGGCAGTGCCCCTCAGGTCTTTGCGATTTAAAGCTCTGAGTGGCACAGCAGCTGTCATGGCCAGGCGAGTGGCTTACTATCCGGCACACGACTGTCGTGATATTGTAAACCAATGCAGAGAGTTGTTGACGGCCGCCTCGTTCGGCGCGCAGGTGCTTCGGGCGGGGCCGGCGACTCGCTGGGCAGCTCGTCGGAGAGCGAGCTGCGGCTGGCGAGCGCGAGGCCCAGCGCCGCGCCGGGCCGCGCCTCCGCCTCCGCCCTCAGCGACAACGAGTTCTAGGCTCTATCGTGCAAGCTGAACAATAAACAAATGTTACACAACATCGCGTACTTTGCTCTGATCCCCGAGTAAGGGAAATCGGAAACAACAACGGTACCACAAACACCCTGCGCCTTCGCCTTCTTCAATTTATTATATATAGTCAGAAGAAAAGTTAACAAGAGGAAAGGAAAGGGAACAGGCTGTGTCAAAAATAAACAATATAAAAACAGGTACAACAGTATAAAACATTCTCTAATTACGCATTAACAAACAGTTCTGACACTTACCCCAAAAGGGCCTGAAGACATACATACATCCAACGCTTAGATTAGATAGAAACAGATTACGTGAGGTTGAGTTCACATGATGGATCCATACACATGTTCTCATTCTTCGGGAATTTGGTGAGAGTGACGATGAAAAGAAGAAAAGTGAGAATGACGAGGCAAAAGAATTAAGGAATGATTCAAAATTTCAAAGTCGGTGGCCAAGAACCAGAGAAAAGGGTGATAAAAACGTAGGATGACGATGAAAAAGGTCGCATCGTCACAACCCAGACCCAAAACAAAAAAAAATAAGTTTCTACACTGACCCAGCCGGGGATCGAACCCGGGACCTCAGAGATGGCGACACCATGAAAACCGGCGTGCAAGCCAGTCGACCACGGAGGCCGCCAACTGAGGGCACCTCGTTTGTTTCACAATCACCTTATTGTATACATGGTAAATGAATAAAACAACATTAATATTTATAAAAACCCTCGTTTATTTTACTAGCCACTCCTTTCAAACGGCGTTCGCCAACACAAAAATGCTTTCAAAACAAATTAAATACGTAATAATTATATTATATCCGTCTACAAACAAATTGAGTTCAACTGCCCGATTTGCTTAAATAATATATTAATATCGTATTTACAAAACTTACTTACTTATTACGTAATTATTATGTCTTAATCTACTTCCAATCCCAAACTCAATTAAGAGTACAATTTTAATATTATAGGGAACCCAGCATTACTTGAGTTTGACCCGACAATTGATATAATGTTGTATTAGAGTATTCATTACTCTTTCCCAATAAAATATCAGCCTTATTTCAATGTTCATTAAAATCAAATTCGTAGTGAAGTTGAAAATTGTTAATTAGCTAATGAACAAAATAATAAAAGTTTAAAAAATTAGAGCAGTTTTTAAAACAAAGTAATTCACGCGTTTTAGTAAATTTTATTATACAACTAAAAATTTAAATGTTGTTTGATGACATCCGTTCCGTTCCATTAATAACATCCGCCGTCTACTTACGGGTATCTAAATATAGCAATAAAAAGCTAACAGTACTGAAAGTTCTATGTACTTACCGTACAATAATAGTAAAACTACAGTGGTAACAAGTAATAAAAATATGTAGTTAATATAAACTTAAAGTTTACTATGGACAATTGCCACCAATTGGAGTAGGTAATACGATGAATGAAATTACATGAGTTTAAAAGAAGTTGTTAATGTACAGTTAGTTTGATCTACATTACGTTTGCTATAGAATATAGGAGCGTGTCTCTCAGGGACCTGCAGTGAGACATTAGTCAGGTTAAAGGCCATGTTCCCGGGAAATTATAGTCAGCGAATCGGTCAGTCACTGACTCTCAAGATAAATTCGTTTACTGTTGCAGTCGTTCCTATTCATTTTAATATCTTAATTATTGTTGTAATATTTATGTATGTGTATAATTTTTAACTAAGAATTCCTTGACAAAGGAATAGGACATGTGGAAAAGCAAAAGCGCACTCCTTTATTCAATCTAAATAATAAGAAATGGAGATATTTTTAAGAAATCCCTAGTATTAAAACTTAACAATAAAATAAACGAATTGAGCAAAAGATGAAGAGACGAGGCATAATGCGCCGGATGCGCCAATTTGGCACCGCTTAGGTACATCGGACTTCGCTTGAAATGTACAACGTTAGGTACTAGTTACAGCTAATATTAAATACAAATATAATTCAATCGAATATTATGTAAATCTAACTCAAATAAATGGAAGTTTGGTGGTGTCCTTCGCAACCCCGGTTCTATGGGGACATACTGGGCATCTACCTTGGGCGGCATTCTCAAAAGGCGGCAAAATCACAATGTTTGAAATTATGTTTGAAAAAAAAAACTTGTTAAATGCGCCTAAGGTCCAGCGCACGTTATTCTGTTGAGGTTGATTTATGAACGTGTCCTTTTTGAACACTTGATTGTTTGTTAGCTAAGTTTCCTATATTTAATTTTGTGTCACACAAAAGTTATTATCTAATAAACAAAAAAGAGTTCAAAATTGCCACAAAAAATGCCACCTATAATGTATTTGTTCTTTTTTTAACAATTTATCTCAGAGAGAGAGGGACTATCAAGTTGCTGCCCCGCTCGGAAAAACCGTAGATCCGGGGTTGGTCCCTCGGCAACAACTCAGAGGTACAAGTTATATCGTTGATAAAATATACTATTCAAAACTATCTGTAGGAATCCTTACTTCGTCGGGTAAATTTTGGAATGAATTTCTTTCGGTTTAAATTATTATTACAGCATAAGTTGTACCGCAAAGTAATATGTGGAGGTGTGACTGGGGATTCTTAGATAACTTATGGAAGAGACTAAAGTCTAATAGTTAGTCTAAACTAGTTCTAGATCTAGACGATAAATAAGTTTCAAAAATAGCGTATAACACAGATATTTGACGATTTACACAAGTTTACAATTGCGATAACGATGCGGTGCACACGTGCATTTCTACCGTGAAATCGCACCGACACGCGACACACTGGTCCCTTTCGTAATTAACATTATTTTGGTGAGTTTATCATCGTGTTGTCCACCTCTACGAAACTTGATCAATTGCAATTTTCCCAAATTAGTGGATGATCAATTTCAAAACTTTTACGTTTTGGTTTTTTGACACATAGATTTTTATGTAAATTCACACAACAAAAGAATTCAAAAATGTTGTTGCCCAATTTTCACGGTAGAAGCCATTTCAGTGTTAGTGTAAATTTACAATAAACTAGTCATAATTAAGTTAGTGTATTTCATGATGTGCAATGTGCGTATAATGTTAAAATATTATTTACAAAATTAATTAAAAACTATAATATACTTAGTTAGTTTGGTGTGATATGTTCAAATTAAGCTTAAAATTTAGAGATTGTTTTCTAAAATTAGTCGTAATGTGTATAATAGTTTCATTTAGTGTTTTAAATGTAGTATTTTGTTGCGCTAAAATCTTTCATTCGATTTCGTAATCGTAATTAAGATTTTACGTACACACGGGTGTACCTACATACAACTTTCATTCATACATACACTCGTGTATAATACGTTTATCTATAAAGAAATCTATAATTAATTATAAATATTTGCTATAAAGTTTGCGTGAAATTTAGTTATTTACATTACAATGTATCCATTTCACACTTCGATCTGATTGGTTGGAATGATTTGCATAATACTGAAAAGCACCAAAACTGCAGATGTCATTTCAAAATTATATGAAGTCAGCAAATTGCACGATACGGATAGGGCTTAGGTAGTAGTGATTTTTTTCTTCACAAATCACGCTAATGCTACCCGATGTTGATGCTCATCGGTAGAAGGATGGTTCTGGCTCAGGAAGTGTGCGAGGTGTCGGAGGTGTGGCTGGTGGCGGTGCTGGGCAGCGAGTCGTGCGCGTGCGCGTGCGCGTGCCGGCTCTCGTCGCACACCGCGATGAACTGCTCCGCGTACGCTCTGCGCACATTATCAAATTAGTTTCTATGTATTTCGGAGTCGCTAAATATTGTGTGACGAGGGAGTAGCGACATTCAAACGCGAGCAGAAGCTTAAACGAACACCAAAGGGAGACCAGCTCTATGTTGCGCTGTAGATTCAGTCTTAAGAGCAGATAGAGATTTGTTTATATGATAAAGAAACGTAGGAAAACTGACATTTTCAGTAACTACCTGTCTAATCCCGTGTAAGTGCTCTTAAGTTCGGCCTCGGCGAGGCGTTCGCGCTCGGCCCTGCGCTTGCGATGGATCCGTTCCAGCGAGCGCGTCAGGTGGTCGTCGCGCTGTCGTTCGCGGCCCTCGCGCCGGCGCCGCTGCTGCGTGCGAGGAGACACGCGCCTGCGCAGCCGCTGCGGACGCAACGATTAGTAAATGTTAGAAAATTATTTCATTGTAAAAATCTATAAAACTGCTAATGAGACAACATCTATGTGGACAAAGAAATATTCTTTTCTTTTCAAACTGTTAATACTTACCCCATCAGGCATGTGGTAGTAGACTGGGGCGTGTGGCGGCGGGTAGGGCGCGGGTGGCAGTGGCAGCGTGGCGTACCGCGGGGGCCCCATCATCACGCAAGCGGGCGGCACCCGGCCAAGCTAAAACAAAAAAACATTGTTACGGTTAATATATTTGGCTGGTGGTTTTATTGAATTTAACTATAAATACTTAAGAAATGAATCTATTTTCCCGGATTTAAATCGCGTATATTTGTTTTTTTCAAACAAACCGACGTTTCGGGCCCCTTACAGGTCCCATGGTCACGGTTGACTGAATCCTGTCCTATCCTATCCTATATGTAACAATCGCGGAAACCTAAGAACTCGATATATAAATAGTTAAGTTTAAGTTTAACTTGTAAAGTTTTCACGATTGCTACACACTGGAAATGGAACTATTATTTTACGCATTTAAAATCATGGTCATGGGCGCGTCAGCCAATCCTTTGTATCTCAGTGAGGGTTAGAGTTTTGAATATGACCCGGAACTCTCCACACGACGTGTTTATTGAAATGTTTCTAGGTTTAGTGGTGAGTGACACTTTCAGACAGGACAAGAGAGAAGCCAAGTCACGTCTCGGCTGATGTCACGAGCTGAGAAACAATGGAATGTGTGCCAGGCGGATCGGTCATCAGACCGCACCGTGCACTGTACTGCCCGACCAGCAGTGTGTTTTAGAATAATGGCGTGTCGTAGGTGTTAGGTGTGATGATAGCTGCCATTGTTAAGTCGGTGGTAACTGACGAAATCATAGCTTATAGTTAATACTTCAATTCTGTAAACGTATTATAATTTGTAAAATGGTATTCATTGTTATTTATAGCAGTGGTAGTGATAGTGATTTTTCATAATGGTCACTACGACAGCACTTGACGAATTTTTGGGTTGATTGACCAAGTAACGATCAAGGATCCAAGGCGTGCTCGTTTGTGTTTTCGGAAGTTGTGAGATATTATTTCTTAACGAACGAATATGAACGGATGTGTAGCCATTGAAAAGTGACGTGTGCGATATAGAGAAAGTCATTTGCGATTACTTTTCATCGTTAAACTGTTACGGTATTTCAAAATAAAATTTTGATGCTCCTCATAGAGTTTAGGTTTATTTAGGTTTATAACCATTACTGTTATAGGACCTGTAAATACCTAGGCATTGTTATAGCACAACTATAGGACAACTCTAGTAGACCACTACCTTCTCATTATTGTTTCTTTTTGATCAGGTTGCTATTCATCTTGCCGAATCATCATTATTTTCCACCCACGTCCTTGCAGCACTCGACTCTCGAATTCGTCTCTCACTGAGCTTTGATAGTGCAGTCAGCCAGTCATGCCGCGCTTGTATTTATTATCCTTTTATACCTCTACAGTTCTTTGCATTTTTGCAAAAAATCCTCGTCACAAAGATTTTTGACCTTACAATTCCACCGTTTATAATTTGACGTAAGTAGTTATAGGTGCGCTGTTGCACCGTGTGTAATATATAGGTACTATGTTATTGACCGGAGTTGCCGCTATTTGGAATAAAACTTTCTAAATCCTGTCCCGGATCTTACACACCAAAATAAACATTATCTAAGGAACCACTTTCCTTATCTGTTTAGTTCACTTGAAGACCATTTTATTTACTTTGAATAAAAATTAAAGACAAAATGTCGCACTTCTAAGACATATTTTTCTCATATATTACATTAAATGACAAATTAGCAGGCTTAGCATGAACCCGAAGATCATGCGAAGACAAAAGTTATCTCTTCTTCGAAATGTCAATTTTCTCTCGAAGATAAAAGTTATCTCTTCTTGGAACTGTCATCGAAGAAGAGATAACTTTTGTCTTCGGGCTCATGCTAAGCCTGTAGTGGTATTGTATAACTTTCATGGATCGTAATCGCGATATAAAAGATAATAAAAAACACAATAACAGAACAATCGCACAACAGTGTCATAAAAATCATTTACATTACTCGTAAGCAGAATAATCTTCAGTTCTGTAAGAAAGGTTATATATAGGATTATACCTGAAATATTTTGTAAATCGCTACTACAGGCTAAGCAGTCTCCATTACTCGTATCTTGCTATTGTGCTGGTCGGAGTACTAATTGGTCACGCATTTGCAGAATAAAACTTTTGTGAACGTTTTACAATAAAGGCGTACTAACTTCAATAGTATATTACGTACATTGTCCGCTGAAGTTCGTCTTAATGTGTTATTTATAAAAAATTGAGTATGGCTAATATGTAAGTAGAGTACAGTACTATAGCATGGGAACCTAGCTTGGGCTTTGCGTAGAGGTACTTTTAAACATAAAGCTGGGATATTTCCGTGAATGAATATTTATTATTTATTTATTTAAACACTTTATTGTACCACAAGTACAAATTTTCAGAAACAATTTAAACAATTTATTTCATCTTTACTGATCGAAGCCTCGTCCAGAACAACCTTAGACTATGGAAACTAAAGGACATGTTACGTTGACATATATAAATCAGACGTTATATGTATATGATGCATTTCGACGTCGAAAACATAAACATATTATTGTCTTTGTTTAACTATTACGTGCCGTCTTAAGCCAAAAGAGATAGCATTACATTGGTCTGTGTCAAACACGGGAATGGAAAATTCGTAACGTCATTTTAAATGCCAACCGTGGCCATTTCGAGTACATGAGGTACATGACACCGTTGTCAAAGGGAAGTACATGAAATGTCAAAACAAATGTTTTTCCAAATGTATTATTGAATTATTCACATGTATTATAATTAAATTGGACAAAAATATTGACAGTGAGAATAATTAGGTATTAATAAAAATGCGACGCTGCAGCATTAAAGGATGCGGCTTTAGAAAAACTGCAAATCAATCGAATGTTACATTGCACAGGCATGTGTTATTTTTGTGTCTATAAATCACACAATAGCCCGAATATTTTATGTAATTAGACTTATTTAAGTAGTTTATTTATAAATCTTGCCAAATTTTGCTTTTGTTACTTTAGATTGCCTGTTTGTTTGTATATTTTGATGATTGTTGTTAACGATTATTTTGAGATAGTGTTGATCTTGTAAGCATACATATTATCGATATTCTGTTATTAAAACAATTCACTATGAGGTTTTTATTGTTTTATTATTATGTTTTCAAGTTTTCCTACAAATGAAAAAAGGAAGAAAGAACGGTTGGAAATCATAGGACTGCCGAATATAAACGTTGGATCAAAGACCATCTTCATTTGTTCGCTTCATTTTTAAGAGTCAAATTTTAACAGAACTTTAAATGTAACTAGATTACATGACAATGCTATTCCATCATTAGGTTCATACTTGAATATTTTTTCATTTGTATAAAAATTGTACGCGGACGAAGTCGTGGGGAAAAGCTAGTACATGATAATTGTTGATTTCCGATAATTGATTTTTACAACTACTTCCATTATTTCTGTGTTAAAATTGCTTGATAGATTTATTTGCTTAAGAAAGCCCGGGAATTAACGGGAATACTAGAATCCGCAGAAACCTGAATAGACTTGTACTTGACGGTTAGTTAAAAGACGTTATGTAAATATGTACTAAAATGTAGGTTAAAGGCGTACCTCTTAAAGTAATTTTTATATTTTATTTAGTAAGTACAATTAATGTTAAATACAAGTAAAGTAGGTATAATTAAGCAAGAATGCGCATGTCGCCAACAAACTGCACAGCAGTTTGGTGACTTTTACTAAATAAGTTACCAGTTGTAATGTTGAAAAGAATTTTTTTTTGAAGTTTAAAAATGTGTGTTGACATTTATAATAATATACCACTCGAGATTAAATTATCAGACCTGTGTTTGTTTAGGCATACTTTGGTTACAGTAAACTAAAGAAACAAAAATTCAAGCCATACATTTGCATGTCGATAATGACTTATCGATAGATTATGGTACAACACTAAAGAAATCCGCCATTTGTAACTTTCAAATTTTGGTAATATGCACGTTGATTCTGTACTTAGGGCAGCTCCTTTCTTTTATTTTTTTCCATCCTCTAAGAGAACAACCGAGATGTTCTTTTTTTACATCTTATTTTTTTATACAGTATTCGAAACACAAACCTATGTTCATTCAGCCAGTAATTCTACTCATAGAGTAGAGCCTAGACTACAGTACTGATTTCTCGATACATTTTTTTCTCGAGTTTCGGGAATTCTCGAACCCGGTTTACCGAGTTGTTCGAGAAAGTATTAAAAACCTTAAAAAAACAACCTAATCAACTATAAATATACAATTTACATGAACTTTTCTAAGTGGTTTTAGCCTGGATGTTCTGGGTAGTGCTCCAGTGGCTCTAGGTTCCTGGTTCGAATCCCGGTAGAACTAATTTGGGAAACTAACTTTTCTAAATTGATACTGTCTGGGTATTCAGTTGCAATACCTTTGGTGGCTGTCCCTTAGCCGCTGTCTGCCTTTCAAAGAAATACAGCTTAGGTATTGTTGAAAACTGAAGTAACACTGTATTGTCCGTGGCGACACAACTTGCCGACTACAGTTACATTTCTCGAGTCGAGAAATGACGAGCAGGAACCCTAAGTAGCTGGTGGTGGGAGTCCGTTGGTGGGTAGGATATACCTATATCCTGAGTGTTTTATTAATATAAAATAATAATGTCACATCGGAAACCAAGTCAACAACTGTTATATTTGAAGGACAACTAGACAGATGTCTTCTTCAAGATAAATGTTCATAGCTCGCGACTGAGTCGTGCCTCCGCCGGTGATGCTAATCGAATAGTCTACGTACGTAGTAATACTACAGACGTATCTTACTGTGACAGTGATGGCAGTCAGCCTGGTTGCTTCAATTTGCAATTCAATGGCTATATCTACTTCGGCGTGCGTGGTGGGCCTCAGCTCGGTCTATGATGAATGTCTCTCGAACTGACAATTCCGCAAGTGCCTACCTAAGTATGAGTCGTCTAACCCTGGCAGCAGTCATCAATTCTAATGTCTAGATAACTCATATTCTACCTATTTAGTAAGGTATAGAGCGAATGCGCTGTGCAAAGCACGATATTTGTACCTTTGGCTAGAGCATGGTAAAGTATACAATAGGGAAAGG